GTTTACCATAAACGGCTAGACTGAGGCGGCTTTGCTGACCGAAAGCGAGGCTCACCCCTCTCAGCGGCAGGATCGGTCATCACTACATTACACCTCCTTCCGGGGCTCTGTGACGGCGTGGGGTTGGCCAGGGTGACCGGTAACGACACTAGGGGGCGGCATCACATTATAGGTGACCTCAAGGACAGCGGACGGGCTTCCAAGTTTGAGGGGTGGGGGTGTCCTCTGCAAAACACCCCCCTCAGCACAGGAGGTCCGGAGTTCCGACACAACATGTGGGTAGAGTTTAAAAAGCACAGAAGTGAGGAGTGAGTGTGGGAGGGGGGTGGCATTGAGGGTCAGGAAGATGGGCTCTCTGAAAAACGGGAACTGGAAGAGTACCAGGGTCCACCCCCGCCCCGCCCCGCCTCGCAGTCAAGTTAGCACTGCTGGTAATGAGTCTTACAAGGACCTGATGAATAATGTAGCTTCCTGTTCAGATGGAGGAAGCCCCACCACCCCCCAGCCGTGACCTTTACAGAAGCAGTTCACAGGCAGCCGGGCTGCTCCCTAATGACGGCCCTCAACCCCCCCCGGCCTGACACGCAGCTCACCCACGTCGAAGGGGGAGTGGCAGCGTGTGGGTTAGGTGGGGGGCAGATGGGGGGTGTCGGTCGCTCAGCAGGGAGCACGGCATGGCCGCTGGAGGTCACATGAAGGCTCCCATTAAGAGCCCCCCCAGCCCACCCCACTAAGCAAATACCACTGGGTCTGTTGGTGCGACAGATGCCTAACACCCTCTCTGGCTCATTGAACACACTAAACAGACACGTGTCCCTGGAGGGGTTCAAGGGGGGGCGGGGGGTGGTGGGGGAAAGCAGAGGTATGGGGCCAAGTGCTCCCTCCCCCACAAATATTCACTGAAACCATATGGATAAACTGGCCAGAGAAAGATCCAGGGTAATTAAATATTGCCTGAAACCCCTCAGAAATCATTCTGCCACCATATCTGTGCCAAGACCAATGTCAACCCTCTACCCACCTCCAGCAGAAGGTCTGAGGTTCATGGGAATGGCCTGGTTACGACAGCCGGACCGAGACACAAAGAGACGAGAGCCCAGGGGGCTGAAGGTCAGATCAGAACCAGGACAGTAAGCTGGCCCACGTGGTGCCGGCCAGAGGAGGCTAGGCTAACAGGCGGGAAACGGCGGCGTTCCCGTGGGTGAGAGCGCACATGGACAGCTAAGGGCGATCGCAGAACCACAGGCCGAGGGCTGGGCGGAAAAGGTAATCATACGACTGACAGGATCCCAGCAGGAAGCAGACACTCATGGGGGGGAAGGGGGCATACCAGTGCTGTTCCCGCCCTTTAAAATTGCACAAAATTCACCAGCGAACTGTCTACCAGGTCTGTCACTAATTACAGTAATTCAGAGCATTTTGCAATATTCTTATTGTCAAAATGCTCTGCACAGAAATATCAAAGACGAGAGTCATGAGGATTGAGATAAACACGTCCACCCAATACACTTCAGCTACAAACTCACCCAACAGCAGGTTTTGCTCAGTGAAGGCTGATGTAATTACAGGTAGGTCATTAACCTACCGAAGCCCTCGACCGCTCTAGTCCTCTCCCTCCTGCAGGCACACAGCTTGCCAGACCCACAGGGACTGACCCTCACTCCACTGGGCTGGCTTTCGTGTTGCCGACGCATCCATTCTAGTCGCCCAGTTCGGTTTGGAGCAAGCCATGAACACCCCACTCTGTAAATTCATTTGTGAGGGGGAAAGCAGCTTCAAAATGAACAGCTGCGAATCATGAGTCCAGTGCCAGTAGTCACATGACTCCCAGCATCGTCACATGACCTCTGACATAGCTTTCTGTCTGTCAAGTCCTGAAAGATCTCGTTGGGAAAAGGCCACCTTTACCAAAATGTCATGTTTAGCAAAGGTCAAAGGCCAGAACAGGCAAAGTCAGGGCTCAAGGATGAACATTATGGGTAAACATTAATTTATTTATGTTTTTTGTTATTGCAGGACATTTCAGCCACGGGCCTGTATAATGGAAATAAACAGCCTTAATTCAAAGCCTGTTTGGTTGTTATCAGCCTTCAGATTTGCTAGAACGTCGTGCAAGTCCCGGGGGATAGCGGAAACAGCACCGCAAAAACCTTCTGATACGTATTAATCAAGAATGAACCAAGCAAGAACAATTAATTACCCCATCTGGGTGATGGATGACTATTCCCAGCAAGGTGAGCTGAGTAACAGGTGCTGTACCGTTCATTAAAATCACTTCCGCCTGGTGTGACCAGCAGCAGGCTTTACATGCGCAGGCGCCAGCCTTGCCCCCCCACCACTGCGTCTGCACCAATCCCCCCGCCCCCCCCCCAGGTCCGAAATGCTGTCCCACAATCCTCTGCTTTGTCCCGTCATTCAAGAATAACACATCTATCCATCACTACAAAGTCGCAATCGAACCCCAACCCATCAACACATCCATACAGGCAAACTGCAGCCCCATCCATATTCATTCTGCTCTGCATTTCCAATACCAGCCCTTTATGAATGACACATTCACCAAATAACTTTAAAGCCTTACGGTGCACAGAACTCAGGCTTCCTAAATTCTGCTTGCAATCAGACCTACAAGGCAGCTCTGGCTGCGGCTCGCCGATAATCTTTATGAATTATACGGCTCACGCTGGAGACTGACGCGTGGTCCCGCTCCTTCTCAGACATAAACAATTAACGCAGACTTCAGGAGCGATTTTTCAGGCAGCCATCCAGGCTCTGTGCTCCGTTTCCATGGCGCCGGGCCATCAGCCAACCGAAACAGAGCGCTCGGTTGGAAGGCAATATAAAAACTCCCAGAAGCCCCTCTGCCCATCCTTTGATGACACGGCACCTGCACAGCCGGCCGCACTGTCTGTGACTCACCCTGAAGACTGGCCCCTTTCCCTCGCCTGACCATTCCCAATTCCTGGGACCAGAAATCTCGTTCCCCAGGACCGACTCCTCTTGATGAAGGTGCTTCTCCTGCATGGCTTTCTGTAACGTCATCAACCAGAACCGATTCCAGGATATTGGCATAAGAGGGGCCAGTATTCCAGCAGTGGGGCCAACCATATCATTAGCCAATGATATGATTTAATTGATGAGTGACAGCCAGGGGGCACTCCTGGGACCAATCAGCTTTCAGCTGGGGCCAGTGCCCCCTGCAGCCGGGCCCCTGTATACGCCCCTGTCATCAACACCCCACGCTACACATATGGAGTTGAGCGATATGGCAAAATATTTTATCACGATAGAGGATATTGCTAATTATCATAACGTAGTTCAAGTCATTTATTCACTTCAAGGCTCTTTTTTTGCTTAAAAATCCCTTTAAACAGATTCAGAACATGAAAAATGGTAGCAAAATGAATGTATTGTAAGCTGAAATCTAATATTATCCATTGTTTATCCACATAATCTCCTTTTTTAAAAGATGTTGTGACTGCTGAGCTGTCGCTTCCTTCACCGACACTCGAAGTTTCCTCTCAGGGCGTCTCTATTTCTTCCAAGCTATTACCAAAACAGTAGCATGCGGCATGCTCCACTAACTCAACCGACCTTACTGTGCATTTTCTTGGGCAAAAAGTTTCCAGTCTTAAACTAAGATATGATTGCTTGGCAGGGCTGAATGCAGACTTTTAGAAATACTGAGGTCCAACCCTATCACCACCCCCACCCCCCCACACACACACACACAACTGCCACTACCACCATGGAATATAAAAAAAGGCTAAAATGATCACGAAATATCACAGTTTATAAAAAAAAACAATTTCTGAAGCGGATGTGTTACAGAATCAAAAGATGATTTATACTTGATAGCATCTAATAAAAAAAATCAGCATAGTGTATTATTATTCTACAGTTAGACATAGTGTTTGTCTTGTCATTAAACTGAAAACACTGTTCCCACTGTAATCACCTCAAAAATGAAATCTTTGTGGTAATGATGATAATTGAGTTGGACCGGGTTGGTTTTTGATTGCGATAAACGGCAGTGGGACGTCATGCCAACTCCATCCTGCAGTTCTGGACATCTCCTCCATCACCTTCTCTGCTTGTTCTACACCCAAAGGTGAGCTGGGTCTGCATCAGTCTTTTCTTTTTCTCAAGAAAAATCATAATGCTAAATCATAAATCACGTACGCGGATATTTATGCTTAATCAATACACACAAATTGTATACTTGGAAGTGAGAGAATTGGGTTTGTTTAGCAGAGGAAACATTATCCCATTGTTTTTAGAAGTATAATAGCCATCCCAATTGTATTGTTTGTCATAAAATTTAGAATTTAAAATTTTATATCTATTGTACCTTTCAGCCTTTTGTTAACACAACTTCTGTTATATTAGTGCTCGTGAATGCATCACTGAAAAAAAATGTTCCCAAATCTACTCTTAATATTCTTAGCTACAACTAGATTGAATGAAATAAACCATACAGGTATCTTTTTTAACGTTTTAAAAAGTAGCCCGGGTGTGGTTTCAGAAAGATCTATTGATCTTGAGTGTTTTCCACAAGAAATCCACTAGACCAAAGTGTGCGATGAACTTGGGCTGCTTGACTGTGCTGCTCCATTCCTTTAAGTATCGGCGCTAAACAAACTGAGACACATGGCTCCAGGACCGATTGTTTATTGTTGTAGTCTTGGTAACAAACCAAAGAAGTAGAGATTTTGTAGTGACAACACGATAATCCGGGTCACTGTGATCAGATGTGGAAGACAAAGATGGTATTTTTGCGTTCATTGTAAAATCTTTACTAAAGTAAAGCCAGTTATAAGCCATTTTACGACTTTGACCAAAATACAGGGGTTCCAACCTTGGGACCTCAATGGTGCAAACTGCTATTTTGTTTGGAATTGTGTTTTTCTGTGATGTCAGTCATAAGCTGATGTGTGTTATCAAGCAACAGTTTATTGAAGTTTCTCGTTTCCTTATTGTTTAAAATTTGTATATAACGATAAGTTGATATCCTTTATGTTGCCCAACCCTACCTGTATGTCTGCCCATGTCAACACCGTGTGCAATGAAACACGTCCTGCAAGGTGCTGAGCTACTACTGTCCAGGGCCCTCGAACCTGCAACCTCCTCCCAGCCACAAGAGCAATCCACTCTCAGACACGCTGCCTGAGGTTCGGAGAGAGCTCATTTTGCATCCTGCCCTCCTGAAATGTCGAACAGGCACACACATGGGGGAATGGACATCAGCTGATTACCGCTGCACCATCCTGGTGACCTGAGAAGAAATGTATATGGAGAAATAGGGCAGACATAGGAGGTGAGCGAGTGATGTGGGAGGCAAGAGAGATATGAGAAGCCCAAAAAAGCAAGCCTGCATTACAACACAACAGTAAAGAGCCCAGCAAACCAAAATAAACACAGTATTACGGTGTGATTAACCCCCCGCCCCCTCCAGCACTTCACACACAGAATACAGCCAGAGGCGTCTATGATAGCTTCAGGACAGGAAATGAATAAAGAAGGCAAATCACATGACTCATCACATGACTCCTAAGCAGGAAGTTAGGTACCCTGTGGAGAAGCTGCATTGCTGTCCAGTGTAGCATGGCTGGAAGATGATAGAGTGTTAAGGTGCTTTAGTTCGATTTGCTTCATTTAGAGGACAGTTAAGGCTGCTTTTTCATAGTTGTGCTAAAGACCGACGGTCTTTCCGTGCGACAGCATCTCACACCCTCTGCCTCTCTGCAATCCGTTCCAAGCGGTTTTGATGGCCAACGCCACACCCAAGATTCGGGCTGGCAGCCAGATGCTCATCATCACACGGCGACGTGTGGCCGGCTTTGGACGGCGCCTGCCGAAAGCTGTCGGGGAGACGGTGAAAGTTTGCGAAAAGAAGATCGGAGACTCACGTCCTTAACTATGAATACTGTAAATATTTACTGAGAAATCAACCAGGAAGCAGAGTATCACGCCCTTAACGATGAATACTGCAAATAGTTACGATTTCCCTGTATTGGTGAGACGTACCAGTGTGGAGAGGATCCATGTCTTTTTTAAAAGGCATATCATGGTCCGTGGGGACAGCAGCTGACATGTCCTTGGAGGAGGGACCCACAAACTACCACACAGGTTCTGATCATGTGTGTCACATGACCCCTGCATCACCTGACATTACATTGCCCTATCTCCCATTCTCATGACGCAGGAGGTGGGGCAGATAAGTACAGTTCGACTCCCAGATCTTGGGATCATTCGGAAATCCATGCAAACATTCTATACCGTGTCACGCATGACTGTCACAGGCCTACAGGGGGCGCATTTAACCGATTCTGCCGAGCTGTAAGGTGGTGGGTAGTATGTGGTCCTCATGCAGGCAGAGAATCTCCCTAAAAACACAGTCTGTGTGCATTAATAAACTGCAGATGCCGTGTTTAATATTCCTAATGCATCTGCCGTTTGTGTGGGTCTCTTACGGGGGTATAAAAATAGCCCCACAGCTGCTGTCTCAGTGAGCTTCCTGGCAAGCCCCCACCATACATTAATAACCACAAAATAGAGATGTCACCACCGGCCCAGCCCAGGGGGGGGGGGGCCCTCTGCAGGGCGTAATTCTGGCCTCCTCCTTGCGCATTGTTATTAATTAATGAAGGCATCCCCTGCACCAATCAGAGGAGTGTGGTGAGCGGGTCTCGTGGGAAGTGCTCGTAACTTGACCCCTGGAAATATGAACGACCGGAGGGGCAGTCCAAGGGGAGGGGTAACACGTATACAAATAATAAAGAAATAAATAACAATGATAATTACATGCAAAATGGGTCACAATAACATAGGATATGTGCCAGAAAATTTGAAAATGGACATAATAACGGGATTTTAGCTTGATATCAGAGGGAGGCAAGGAGCGGCCAGGAGGGGGCAGCATGGAGCAGCCAGCTGTGAGGAGGGGATCTGGTGGATGTGAGTGACTCATGCGAAGGAAGTTCTGACACACTTTATCAGCAGCCAGTGGCTGTCACTCCCCCACCCTGACTGATCAGCACCCCCCCCCCCTCCCAAAACAGGCAGAAACTGACAGGATAATCGTAGGGACCCAGTAACACCAGGAGACGGCCTCCATTAAGGCCCTCCTCACGGATCTCACCAACTCCAGCATTAGAGGAGAAGATGGTTGAGTCCTCATATTAAATCTGTTTGCTTTCAACCCCCCCCCTACCCCCCCCCCACCCGCTGCTCGGGTGGTCAGAAAACCCCCACAAAGCCACTTCAGAAGGACACCACAGATCACAGCTTTAAAAACACAAACACGAGAGCCACAGACACTCCCTGTACCAAACCCTGGCCCAGCGTGTCAGCACATGGAGTCTGACAGCAGAATCACGGCATGCAGCCAGTACCGCGGGTCGGCTGGGCTCGACCGGGGGCAGGTCCTGGATGTGGGATTCGTGGGCCGTAGCAGAATCACATTCCACTCGCTAACGTCCTCTGACACTGCAAACACGGCCACAGTGATCCATGCAGCCAGTGACCCAGAGCCTCTAAGTGGCCAGTGCAGATGAAGAAGCAGTGCAGATGTAAAGTTGTTGCGTGCTGTGCCTGTAAACTGAAAACTGCAGCGCAGATGAACTGACACAGCACAAGCAGAACGATGATTCTAGAAGATACCGCTATTGTGCCTGGGGTTAAGTCCTCAGACACCTAATGAGCGGCTCCGGCAGCCTGGGATTCCCGGTCCGTGTCGACCGGTTCCCGTCTGCTCTGGGGAAGGTGAAGGACACCTCGTGGGATACCTCTAGATCTCCTCTCCTCCATCGTTTCTGCTTTTTCTGGTTTCTCCTACATCCCATTCCTGCCCCGACAGTGGCTGCAGGATACTGAGCCCCCCCCCCCCCCTCCCCCCCCCCCCCCCCCCCCTCCCCCCCCCCCCCCCCCCCCACACCCACAACCCAAACGAAAGACTTCTCC